GCTGTCAGGGTTTTGAGGGAAACTCAGCAGGATGGGCTTTAACACCTGGATGTTTCACAACAGCGGTTGTGAAGGGAGTAGCTGCACACCTCTCAATAGCCTTGCATCCCCTTGCTGCCTGCTCTGAAGTTCAGCCCTGAAACTTGGTCTTGGAGTAATTAACTAAGTCTTAGAAGTGCAGCCCAGCCAGATCATATATCCCTGGTAAGGAAGAATAACAAAACTCGGTGAGTTTAGGAGCTATGGATCCAAACGCTAGCTAGTATTGGTAGCAAATTACTGTAAGAAACAGAACTCTTTGTTAACCTATCTTAAGATGGTGGGTGTGGTGGTGTGTGCTCCCTCCTTGTACTTGGTGTAAAGTCTAAGATGCAAGTTTAAATTAAAAATTTGTTCTCATTAAGTAATTGCCAAAATGCCCCTTCTTAAGAAGATGACTAGTTCTGTCTGTGACTTGTATTTTTACACAAGCCACAGACAGCTGTAGAGCCCGTGACCTCTCCACTCTTGTCTACAGCTTGTTATAAACGCCAAACAAAATGGCTTAAATTGTTGAGACTTGAGAAATGATATCCTTGAGCTCTGACCCTTCATAACCAAATCCAGACACTGGATCTCCCCACTTCCACGTATTTTATATGAAGCACCTGACAGAGCAGCAACAAATAACGGAGGAATAAATCCAGCAGCCTGGAACAGTTTGCCTTCATTAGCCCAGTCAAAGGTCACCTCACGTCGTGTCACTGTGAGTGTCTGGCTGCTGCCCGCTCCGGGCCTCAGTGAAGAGGTCACACGGTGATGGGAGGAGAGCAGGGGAGGAAAGGATCCTGGGGCCTCTGCAGAGGCTTATTTTGCGTGCCAGTTACTTCCCAAACCTGCATGTGCTGCTCTGGAGATCTAGCACTGGCCTAGGCTTGACCTTTGGGTGCTGATGTGCTAAAACATGATGGATCAGCTGAGCGCCTGCTATTCCCCTCTCTGCTTTAGTAAGCACCTCCATGCTGCAAACTCAGACCACCACCCTCGGTTCAGAAAGGATTTATGTGTGTTTCTCWTGATATGCAAGACCATGGATGATATGCAAGACCATAGATGGTGCAGTGAATGCAGCTACTCGCCCTGCGGTCACAAATGCTCCATGTCCCAGATTACTGCTTACTGGCTGCGGGTTGGGCTTTATTGGAGCCAAGCAGGCCAGCTCACTGAGATGATAGAGGTCAATTTGGACAGCCTCTTCCCTGCTGGAAGGGGGTGACAAATCTGACTCTGACGTGAAGGTGACAAATCTGCCTCTGGCTTGTCTGATTTCCTCTTTAAATGCAAAACCTGTGCTGTCTATGGCTGTGGCTAGCTGTGCCTTCTTCCCCTATGGAATTCCTTCTGACATCAGGGTCCCATTAACTGGGGAAAATGGCACATTTGTATTGAGGTAGCAAACTTCACAATATCCACTGACCATTCAAAATGTTCAAACTAAAAGGCTGCTCCTCAGTCAGTAAATAGACCCTTGGAAAATGAAGGTCTGCACACAGTGAAACAAACCCACACATCACATTGATATCTTTTAAAAACTTCTGATCTTGTTCAGGTGCTGGTTTGGGAATATAAAACCTATCTATTATATTACTTAATGCATCTCTATTCTCTTTTTTTACTTAAAAGATTTTTTTCCCTCTATTTAGCGCAGGATAACTCAAAGCAACCATAATAACCTGCTTGTGTTGCTTTTGTACTTGAGTAATGAACAACTGCAGTATAAAGGTGTTTTTTCTTCTTTCCCTCAAGCACTTGTCAATCTTTACCTGATAAATAAAAACTTCAAACAAGTTCCTTTTTTTTCCTTAATTGGGCAGAATTTCTCTCCAAAGGAATGTCTAAATACAGAGAATAATGCATCCATGGCAGCAACAGGAGTCAACAGGCAGGCGAGCAGGGTATTTGGATAGGAATATACTGAGGATATAAATCCTGATACCAAAAGATGAGTCTTTTTGGTTTTCTTTCATCTAGWAAGTGTCCGTTCCAAGTGCAGGCAGTGCTGAAAGGGCTGGATAGAGCTGTGGAGGAAATCCCACTGTCCTTGGCAGCGCTGCCCTGAGCTGCGCTCCCGCTTGCTCTGCTCTCCCTCTCCATTTTTAGGCTTTACTACTGACACTTCCATAAAAATCAGAAATCTTAAAATTACACTTTGCCTCACTTAAATAAATTATCTTTTATTATATGAACTTTGGCAGCCACAGAGGCTGCTTCCTGCTTAAGGACTAAGAGATCCTATTGTCAGTCCTGGAACAGAGCTCCAGCTTCTCACTTAAGCAAATATAATATCCTCAGAGTTTGGCCTGAAAGGAAGTTAGAATAACTGATCTATAAAAGGTTCTAAATGTGCTTTAAAATGTCATTAGTCAGATAAATCTAGGAGTCCTGAAGCTGGTTGACTAGCATTTTATGGCCCTGCCAGTTTATGGCAACACAGAGCTTCATGTCAAGGCGTTCTTTTCTCTTCCAAAACAGTAGACAAAGAGATAAAGTGCCGGTAACACCGGGAGGCTGCTRCGGAGCGTGTCCAACGAGCTCAGTGTCCTCGTGAAAGGGCTAGAAACCAGCTGATGTTTGGCCATATAGGGTTGGACTTGTTGAAGCTAGGGGTAAAGCTTCTGTTGGCTGCTCTATAGTAATACTTAGTCCRTAAAGCTGATCATTTTTCTTTTTTTCCTGATTTCCCCTGCCTTTTTCCTTGCTGTAAGGACATCTAATTTGCACTGGTCTTAAATGAGGCGAGTTGGAGTCATTCTGAGAACCACCTAAGGATCCTCCTTCTAAAAGAGTCTAGGCTTACAGGACCTTTCATGCTGCCTAGCTTCATAAAGGTCTTTTTGCTGACACTTTGCTGGACTTCAGATCGGCACATGAAGTGAATTTGCTTTTGAGTTTGTAATCGTTTGTGAAAGATGGTGGTTTAATTCCAAAATGCTGATGATTTAATCCTCTGGATCAGCAAATACGTTTATGTAAACTGGCACAACCTTGCTCACAGTTCAAAGTAAACAAGAACACAAAAACTGTTGTTATGTCCCAAAGATATAATGTTTACTTAATACGGAGATTCTGGACCACGATTTTCTTCAGCTGCCCCCATAGCAATGCAGTGTGGTATCCACAGTAGGAAACCTCATGCCAGCAGCATCTCTGAAATATGCTAAAAGAATCTAAATTAGAAAATGTCAGCTTCTTGGCTGATGTTCCTTTGGAGTTTCTTTTTTCCTTTCTTGTGCCTCTATAATTTTATTGGGATGACTAAATCTCTGAACTATGCTAGCAGTAAACAGAACTAATTTACCCCCTGCTTCTTTGAAACAGCTGCTGACAGCTGCACTATAATTCAATCATGGATCTTTGCAGTGCACTCTGCAAAACATTTTCATATTTTTTCATTTTTTTTCTTTGTTATGTTTGGAGTGAAAAGGCTGCCATGGATGCTGATGTCTGCCACTTTTAGTCGTGCAGAGAGATGTATGTAAAAACAAGGGGACAAGGTAAGAAAAGGTGCCCAGCTGARAAACATCTCTGCATACAGTCAGAATAACCACACAGATGCACAAAGTTGTTGGTATATCTTTTGCAAAGTTGCAAGGATTTATTTTACTAGTTTGTACAAAAGGCTTCTGACAACTGCTCTATGAAAAGAACCAGAAATGTGTAAGCGTTTTTTTTTTTTTGCCAACTGTTAATAAATATCTTTTAAATAAGGAAACAAATGTGTTTAGGAACTGAGAATCATTTTTGCTGGATGTGATTGAAAAGGAATTCAGAGATGGAAATAAATAACTCTTCTTCTGCTTTTGTGACAACTATTTACATAAAAAAATGTACAAACAGTGAAGCTGATGTTGAGCCTAGCAACAGGAATCCTGTTCTGTATATAAGGAAAAAAAAATAGTCCCCACCTACTATTTAATATATGAATCCTATACAGCAAGATACTGTGGTCCCAGTTACAACCGCGATACACCAATGCAGTGACCACCAACACCTGCAGGGGAAAAAAGTAATTTTTGGCTACTAAATAGTGGAAGTTCAGGGCTGAGGAGTTCAGCTTGGCAGGCAGCACCTTCGCTCTGCTGAGACGTTTCCAGGCGTGTGATCTGCCCCTTGATTTCCAAGCATTGAGGGCAGTTTCAGTGGGGTTGTTCCCCCTGTGTGCTCCAATCCGCTGTTGAGAGTGGGCAGATGTTGGCTTGGTGGCTGCACTACTGTCCTGGTCCTTGGCAGCCCTTCGGGGCCACCCCAGATCCCACCCACGCCTGGTCCTGCGAGCAGGAAAACACCCGTTGGCGTAAAAGACGGTAGGGCCAGACCTTCGGAAACAAGTTTCCAATTTATTTCATAGACAGCAATTTTTTCCCTTTCTTCTTATTTTTAAAGAGAGGCATCTGGTCTGGATTTGAAGGCTGACTTAAATGAAGAATAGTGACYGATTTCCAGAATCGTGTGGTTCCCTCCATCCATCTCCGTGTGCTCCAGGGCTGGGTTCCCGCGGGGTGCCAGGGGGGATGCCGTGCTCTGGACCTGCCTCTGGGAGGTTCCCATTGCCGAACTTTGCAGATTTAGAGTTAGGGATTTGCTGACCCGATGACGGAATTTTCTTTTTCTTTCCCGGGAGCAGTTTACACCGAGGCTACTTCTGTAATCGCGACGCGTGCTAACGTTTCCGATCGGTTTGTGATTGGCTACTGCTATTCTGTACTCTTATTACAAAACTTGAGTTTTAATTACATAAATGAAGTATTTCTGTAACCCATGACTTAAAAAGAAGAGGCAAAAAAAAAAAGCCTTGAGGGCTCGAGGGGACGTTGTCTTGCTCCCGGTTCCAGCTAGCTGATGTGGCTCTTCAAAAGGATTTTTTTGTTTTTGTTTCTTAAGGAAAACTGATCATACAACAGGATTTTTACAGAAAAYCCTGATTCCGGGAACAAAGGTTCTCCATTTTGTGTCCTTCCGTCTGTGCAGTGCTGGGTGCAGCATGTGGGACCTCATGGTCTGAGGCTCCGTGTTTTCCAAAATGTCTTGGAGTTCTTTTTGTCCGTTACTGAAGTCAATGGATGTTTTCCAAGCAGAACTCTTCTGCCGTCTTTCACAACTCCAGAAACGTTTAGGCTGTCCCAGCTACATGTTCGACTTAATCACCCTTTTGTAATATTTTGCTGCTTTCTTAAGTTCAGAGCAAACTCTTACTGGTGTTTAGAGTAACTATTTTTCCTGTTGACAAAAACTTTACCCGAAAAATGTTATTCTTTGCAGTTATTTTTGTCCGTTCTTTTGCTTGTGAGTTAGAGGTCATTTTAGACTTATTTGTCCTTTGAACTTGCATCAGTCCAGATACAGCTTTTGCCACTGCCAGCACTGGAAGTTGCTGTAGTTGTCTTTGCTTCTGCTCATGAGGCTGAAGTAAACAGAGGAATGGAAGTAATAATTCTCTAACAAAATACCTGTTCGCTCCAGGTATATTTTGTTCACTTATTTTATTGCAAACAGTGTTACAGGAACTGCACATGCTTATTAGTCACACCACATTCTCACCTTGCATAGATTATTATGTTTAATTCACAATGCGCGTTGGTGAGTTTGCAATCTTCTGAAAGACTCGTTTGCAGAAGTATGTGTTGTAGGAGCCAATTTTTAAGGCAGATTTGTTTTTTTAAATGGTTTCTCTGGCTTGTTTCAGTTTACAAGCTCATTGTCTATAATAAACTAAAACAAAATGTGTTCAAATGCCACTTAGATCCAGAAACTGTTCCATTGTCTGAACCTTCAGAAGCCAAGTCCTAAAAATTCCTCGGGATTTTAAAGTCCGCTGCTGGAGTCCTAACCTTCTTCCCCACCCCCATGTATCCGTACAAAAAGAAAAACATTCTTTACAAATAACATTTTTTTTCTTTTCTTACAAATCTAATGACAGCCACATGCTCGTACCACCATGTTCCTGTATTTTTTTAAGATAACATTGGAGCTGTCATCAAAATAGAGCACTGAGATGGCGTTGAGTTGTGTAGGAGCACAGCAGGGTTTCGGCACAGTCTCCGGGTTTATAAAGTGAACCTAGGGAGGGAAAGGAGAGGCATGTTAAGATTTACCTTTCCCTTCTCCTCCCCTATGTTTTTCTTTCCTGTCTCTCCAATGCTGGTGCCAGCCTGTTTCCAACACCTGGCTCTGTGCATGGCATCCTGTGTTGTCCCCTGCACGTACCACGGCTACTGCTCGCGCACACCCAGCTCCCCTCTAGCTGGAAAGCTTTCAGGGAAGCAGGTTTTCATTAGAAAACTCCCATTTGTCAAAGCAGTCGGTGTTTTGCAGCAGGGTACCAGGCTTTGTGCAAACCCCTCCCAAGCGCAGAGCTGCGGCCGCAGCTGGCAGTGCCCRTGGGAGCCGGGGGCTCCCGGGTCCTGGAACTCGGCAGAAAGACTAGGGGGGAAAACTGAATGCTAAGTAAATACATCAGAAAGGGGGGAAAAAAAAAGGAGGAATATTAGAAGAAAAACTTGCAGAAATTGTTTGGAATCCCTTGGAAATGTAGGCATTTCTAGTTTCCCTAACCCTTTTTGCAGTATCACTCTCATGCAACGAAAGCGCCTGATGCAAAATCAGGAAGAGATTAAAAGAGAAGTCCAAAGTGTGCAGAGGAAACTGCCTTTGCCCCCTGCTCTCTTTCACATGATAAATATCTCCATGGAGCAGCTGRGCTATGTAATCTAGGGCCTCCATGGCCCCTCTTCAGGCTGCCCGCAATCTAGTTTTGGCACATGGTGGATCTYTGCGGAGTTTTTCCAAGCGATGCTGATACCCCATCTCACATCCTGCTCTTTCCTTCCTATGCAAAGGGACTATACTGTTAAAGCGCGTGGTGCAGGGCCCCTTGAAACTACAGAGAGCATGTCAATGCTTGCAGCAAAGACAGGGTAATTCCTAGCCAACTATTAATTCAGGCCACTTGGCTAGACGTGTTTAGCCAGATGCTGCAGGCATCCTAATGAGCTAATGCAGACCTTCCTTTTCTCGTTAGCTTCGAGGACTTGTCTTGCACAAGCTCATTTGTGAGCTGCACCCGTCAAAAATACTGCTACAATGCAAGTGAAGTTGCACCCACCAGTGTCTGTACAATGGCATGATTCGTAGCATTCATGTATGAGTTCAACGGGAAAGCACATTCTCCTTCACAGTAGTAGGCAGCGTAGCCCTCTGGAGCAATGATCCAGTCCTTGAGTAAATGGAAGACAGGTTAGGTTGTGGAGAAAGATAAAAACATTGCACAGGGAAAGGAGAACTAGAATGACATGTAATTATTATTTCGTATGTCTGTATATAGTTAAAGTAACCTGAAAAATAAAGATCTGGTAAGCTGGCCTTTCTAATATTACCCTTTTACAACTCTAAAGCAGCTGTTTTCTCTGGAGAAAGCTCTCCCACTTSGCAAGCATGCCCAAAGAGCAGCTGAATCTCAGGGTTTAGTTTTATCAGCCATCCAGCAGTGCTGGCTGCCTGCAGGGATCCCTTCATCTGCTACCAAAAGGCAGGGAACAGGTGAAAATCTCTAGAACCAGATCAAAACAAATGGGCAAATGAGAACAAAGTGCAGTAGGTGCGTTCAGAACTGCCCAAGGAAACACAGGTGTCCTCGGCTCCTCACACACTGTTCGGTGTATTAAGTTTTCAGTCGGCGGATGCTAACGTTGCAACACCCCAGCTTTGCAGACACGCTCCCTGAGCATGGCAAGGCAGGAGGCAACGTTTCTTTCTCTCCYAGGGATAAAACTCTCATCGTTAGTGTCACAAGCAGCCTGGCCAAGGGTCCTTACCTGCCACCCCAGGTCCCTGAAGCTGACGTAGAGCTCGTGCTTCTTGCAGGCCTGCCGCTGGTCGCTGCTGCTGTTCTCTGCACGGGCGGGAGGGAGGCACAGTGAGGCAGGGCGCAGGACTCATCCCTTTTTTTTTTTATGTTTTAGTTGGAAAATAATGACTGGGTTCAATATATACCAGCCCAGGCTGGTGTTTCCCACTGCTGAGAGGCAGTTTGTCATTGTACAAAGCGTTGGCTGGGCCCAATCCTGGCGGGATTTGCAGCCGGGGACATCGCTGCCCGTGGGGCTGGTCCTGCCAGCAGCGAGGTCGTTATTCGGAGGCGTTTGGGAGTTCGGCTACGCTTCTATTTTAGATGCCTGGAAGAGTTTTCTTCCATATTAGGAAGCACAGCTTCCCGGGAATAGCTGCGGCCAGCCTGGGCAAGGCAGGACTTTCCTCTTCCGGGAAAACTCTGGGGATTTCTGAAGTTTCAAGAGTGGGTTGGGGAAGGGAACATTCAAATCACAGGCTCAAAATATACAGCGTTTTGATTCGGCTCAGCTGAAGTAGCTCATTATAGTAAATCAAGTATGAAATGATCAAAAATAATCCTTATTAGAAGCTATTTCAAACAGGGAACCAAAGCTTACATTTTTAATTGAATTAGGGAATCCCACAATTTAACTCCTTCCAAAGGAACACCATTTTCCTGACTCTTTCAGAATAATCTCTAATTTCAAACAGTTTCAAACCAKCAACCAAGAAATAACGCGAGATCAAAAGGACAAGAAATTGCCTGTAGGAGAGAGACCTCCCATCCAGTCTCAAGGACATCAGAGACGTGTCCCGTCTCTTGGAAGCGGTGGCTGGGCAAACCTACTGACCTGCCATGTTGGAGACCCGGAAAGCGTCCTGGTTCTTGGGCGTTTTCGAGCGGTTCTGGCTGCGCTGCTTGCCGCCCGTGGAGCGGATGCTGCGGAGATGGACCTCCGTGGCCTTGAAGAAGGCCACCGTGAAGGGCTGCTTGTTCTGCGGGCCGTGCCTCCCGATAAGCCCAGCCAGCTTGGGGTTGATGCTTTGTCCTTAACAATGAGAAGGATGGATATGGATAAGAGGGATCGCAATAACGTTGTTCTTCCCCAGTGCAGTCATGGCATGATGAGGGCACCAAGCCCTCCTCAACCTTCATCGGCCAGGCCACTCCTGACAGCAGCTCAGCACAGCTCACTTCATTTTATATCTGTGCGTAAAAGTTATATAAAATACTCCTACATATAATTATTTTACCCTAAATCCGCTTAGCATTAGCTTTTCCTGCATTCTTTAGAGGGGTTTCTTTAAGTTCACCAGCCTGTAATTTCAAGTGATCCTATAAAAGCAACCATAAAATTCAGCCCATAGGAACACTAAATTCCCACTGGAAGGCTATTAACTTTAAATAAAAATGCCTTGTATGAAACATTGACAGGGTTCCAGATATACTGTAGCTGGAAGAAACAAATAGCTCTTTGGAAACATTTTGTTTATTGCTGTATCTCTCATGTTCAGTACTACTGTATCTGAAAACCTTGCTGCAAATACTGCCCTTCATGCTGCTTTCATGATGCACTTTTTTGTTGGGGGTAACATTCAATGATTTTGCATTAGTGTAGCAATAAGTGGTATTTGACCATCAAATTCTAAATTTAACAACAAATTCAATACCACTACAGTGGAAAAAGGTACGTAGAGCCCTTTGAGAAGTAACCTATTCCTTGACAAAAGCATGGATTCTTCCCAATTTAGCTAACTTTCCTGTGCCTTCCAGAAGACAAGGTTAAACATGAAGACATGCACCTAGTTCTCATCCGTGATAAACTTCTCCCAAAAGAAAAGAAATAAAGGTGTCTTCTGGCATCAGAGGGCACTACTTTGGCTGCTTTTAAGCAGCTGCTTTTTTAATACCATCAAAAGTAGAACCTCAAAATATAAACTAAGTAGATCTAGATGGCCGGTTATTGTTCCTAAGCACTGCTGAGGGAGAGTGACTCATTCCCTGTTTCTTTCGCTTGTTGCTTGAGCTTCTCCAACAGTCTGCGAGTAAACAAACACCCTTTGATTCCAGTCCGGTTTGCATGGTGATGGACTTCTCTGGCATGGTTRTAAAGCAATACAAACTTTAGTAAAATTAATTAATTTCTTTTGTGTCATTTCTTCTGGACAGCGCTCATGACTTCATTTTTTTTTTTTTTTTTACACGGCTTGAATTGGCTTCATGGTTAGATTTCTGTGAGCAACGAGCAATGCAAAATATAAAACCAAGAAAGCTCGAAGGATTTTTCTAACTCATTATTCACTTTAAAGCTAGTTTTATATCACTGGAAGTTTGGGGGTTTGCCCAAGCATATAGTGTTGCATCAAAGTCTTACTGTGTTTGCAGACATATGATTTTCATATGAAGTCCAGGTGTAATAGCAGTGTCCTTGTTAGCCTGAAATGGGTCTAAATCCAAAACAAAACACAGGGAGCAAGGAAGGATGTGTCCTTGCTGCTCGGGATGAAAAGAAAAATCTGTCTGTGTGATGGAGAAAAGGAAAAGGTTGTAGTTGACTTTTCTAATTTGCATGACAGCTGATTTAAATACTTTGTTAATTTATTTTGAGAAAGCAAGTTTTTGCATGGTTTCAAAAATGTTTATGAACTCAGTGAGACCGTTTACGCGTGTAAACAGGAACTAGATTCCTAATTTCCATCAAGTCAAATAACAGCTATGAATTTGTTTATGACTTRAGCTGAGAATTTCTACTTTTGCAAACCGTGTCTGTAATGGATCTGGTCATATGTTGAGTGCTCAAGCAGAGCAGACCCAGTCCCTGGGACTGTGCGTGTGGCTGCAGCTTTATCTCTGTACATGGGACCCTGAGAAGTTTGGGCTGAAATCTGTACCGTACTTATAAATCAGTGTTTCGGACTAAATATCAGGAAAAATAACAGTACTTCCCRGACACACACAGGCCAGACTGTGTCCGGGAGAGCACAGCTACAACTGAAGGCAAGTCAGTTTATGATCATAAGTCAAGTGGGAGAAAGCTGAAAAATTGTGAACCTCCATCCTCTTTTGGAGCTCTGGAAGTGAACGGGGACTTCGCCATTGGGTTGGTGACATACTGCTCGCTGCAATGGCAGCGTGTGTTTTCTTCTGAAAGATTTGGTGTTAATCACAGCTAGAAATGTCGCATTTGACTATTTCATAACTTCCTTGCTGCTAGTACTATCACYTTTTCTGGTGTTTTTCCCTTGCATCCAGGAACACAGCCTCAAATGCCCAGGAAATCTCTGGTATTCAGTTATTTCTATTAATACCATGATTTCATGATGTTCTCTTGCGCTTTACATCATAAAATGTTCGGTTGAATACCTATTTCTCCCTCACCAGTTTCTTCTTTGGAGGATTTTTTTATGTTCTGTAGCACTGATTTACGAAATGTGGTATGTACACAGAAAAGGCAAAGTATTTCTAGACAGAGACTGTCAAATTTTGACAGTCTCAGACTGTCTAAGACTTTACAGATTTATTGGAGAACAAAAAGTGTTATTTTGTCTCATAAACAATGATATAGATTTCATACTGTCACCAATATTACTGGGTTGTTTGAGCAGCTATTTCCTGTGTTTCCTTCATTTTAGAAGACTCGAGCAAAATTTGGAAGTGACTGAAAATAATGTTCCAGCCAAATTAAAAAATGCTGGAACTGTGAATGTTAGTTTAGTATATGGATATTGACCTATAWAGTCAATAAGCAAGTGTGAGGTATACTCAATAACTAGGTGAGTGTTTAAGCGTGAGTTTTGATAACCTGGGCCAAATTCCAACTTTGGGAAATCTAGAAATGCAGTAAGGTGGAAATATATTCAATATGGAAGATGTTGGATTTTGAGAGAAGAAAGTTTTAAACAAAGAACTTCTGGGCTTCTCCAAAGGATGTCTGGAGTGGCTTGTGATGGTATCTGGAGTAGAAAATCTGTAGGCAGCACCATGTGTGCTCGGGCTGCAACTCAGCAAACCTCCTCCCAAGAGGGCTTCAGGGGCTGCAGGGTGGTATTTCAGGAACTTTTAAAGATGAAATGTCAAAGCTTTGATTTTAATGTCCTGTGTGATGCTAGAAGCAGAGATGGAGTAGCTAGGCTTAGAATGAGGAGAAAGGTAGGGTTTTTGGATTTTCTCTGGCAGTGTTGGCTTATCCTAGTGTTAAAGCATTCATGAAAGTAGTCTGCAATTTGGAAACTGCATTTTTTTAAAGGTCTTTATCAGGAAGATTTGAGGGTTTTGTCTACTGGTTTCCTCCTTAATGATGAGAAAAACAATTGTTATTTTCTGTAAAACTACCGTGTAAGGATTAACAAAGACAGGACAGGGCAGAGCGTTAATGAGGCTTTATCAATAGAACAATGAGGGATGGACACTGGGGTATCTATAGTGCTTGAACTTTATTAATCTCAAACCACTTTTCAGCTATTGCTTTTCTGTGGACTCTGGGATGGGTTTCCATGGTTTTCCTATATGTAAACTCAGAATTGAATGAGTGCGATGTGGCTGCAGACACAACTTACATCCTTCCAAGTATTTCATTTAGGAGGTAAGCTACAAAACTAAACACAAGAAGCGTTTGAAAACGGGTTAAGCTTGCCTTGGCTGTTAGATTGCGATACTGTTTTAGCTTTAAGAGCTGAGATTAACTTGTAAATTGGGCTGAATTTGAATCTATATGCAAAGGTGGCATCTGTCATTGAGGTGGGGACTTCCAGGGTGACGTGTCTGCGCTGTATCTTTGCATTATCATTCATATAGGGCAGGTTAAAACAACCCCGTGAGCTTCAGCTTTCAGGGCAGGCAGATCTCATTTGCTCAAAATCACCCTTTCATGTCAATGACTCTACTTAATTTGCCTATTTCGAAACAGCCTTGCACAGTCTTTATGCAAAATACTGCTTAACTGGAATCGTTCAGAGTTTTGCATAAAAATCAATGGCAGGTTGTATCACAGATCTTTATCTGCAGAATTCAGGTATGTCATCAGATACGCATATTCRGATTATTTGCACTAAGTTCCAGTTGGGTTCTGCTTAGCCTGTCCTGTGTGGCAGGCAGGCAGCTCCAGAGAGGGGGCTTGAGAAGCCTCTCGCCTGCCAGAGCATGCAGGGTGCATTGGGTCACTTGCACAAGACTCCTAGTGAGCAGGAGGAATCTTAGCTTTAAAGTGGTATAGCTCCTTTGGTAAGGCTTAGCTAGGAAAATTTCCACCTGACTTCTAAATATGCCCATCTGTTCCAAAACCACATCTTCCTACCCACTTCCCATCATCATGGGTGAATATCGCAGGCGTGCTGCAGAACCCGGAGTCTGCGTCAGGCATGACTTTATTGCTCATTTCTGCTGCCACAGGGAAAAYGGAAATGGATCTAAGCAGTTTTCTGCATTTGAAGGGATTTCCGTGTCAAATGACACCAGCTTCTGATGTCACTCAGCTTTGGTTTTTTATGTGTAGCAATTTTCTTCCTGTCTTTGATGGGAACTGTCTGAGGCAGAAGAAAACAAGCTGGTGGATTCAGAACATGACAAGAGAAGCRTAGGAGAGACACCTCTCTGCCCTTTTCTCCTAAAATGCACCTCCGGACTTGGATACTTGTAGTTGTTGAGCAGGAAATGTTATTGCAAAAACATCTCAGTTTCTTACACAGCAGCATAAGCATGGAAGAGTGAAAAAGGCCACCCGGGAACTTCCAGGATTTCAGATAAAGTTTGCTAATGCTATGTGCAATTTAGCCAAAAGAATGTGTGACCCTGATGACAATGTGTGTGCAGCTAATATTTAATGATTGAACACCAATCTGTTAAAGCATTTAASTACATCCTTAACCTGAAATATATCTACAGATTTACTTTTTCAATCATGATTTACATCTTAAGCATAGCCAGAAAAATATATCCTGAAGAAATCCTGTTGAAAGGGAATGCATCAAGTTCATTAAGGCTAATTCCTAGCCAGAAACTTCTACCTGGCCTGGAAACTCATTGATGGATGCTGTTTTCTGCAACTCACCATCTATGCTTTCCACAGAGAGCTGAAGACCGAGGTTGTGCTGTGGATTCACCACCCAGTGATTACTGGTTGCAGTAATATCAAACACGAGCCACCCTTCTTCTGCAGCCCAGATAGTTCGAGAGTCAAGCAGGAACAAATCTGAATCCCTGAAGAAACAATAAAGGAAACAACCTCAGTTATCTGGATTTTCCATTGGAGTCTCTCTGGACATCCAGCCACGTGTGGTAAAAGCAGCAGGCTTGGTAGCTCCTTCGAGCAATACCCAAGTGATGCCGAGGCTCTGCTGGCACACTTTGCTGTTTCAGCTCTTTGTAAAAGGGGGAATGGATTGAAGCAGAGTTGGTTAGTCTGAGTTACTATGGTGTTACAGTTAACCTTACAGCTGCTGATGCAACTTCAGGGGGAAAAAAATGCTTACCAGGCATAAATTCGCAAAATTATTTGCATGCATATGCAAACTCAGTACTTGAGCAGACAATGCTGCTCATTATCCTTTCCACACATAATTTCCTGCCTTCTATGCATAATTGTAGCACTGGTGTGAACCACCTGGAACACTGCTCTGCATATATTAACATACATAATAGTTTTTATAAATCTCTTTGGCTGAGGTTACAGATAATTGATTGAGACAATAACCCTCTGCACAGTCACAGGTCAGCATTACTTTGGATGGCAATTTCCTTTCAATTTGTTGCTTAAACTTCTAATAGAGTACTATTGGATTATTTTGGTTAAAGAACTGAAACCAGAAACAGAGTGATCAGAAAACAGAGGATTTCTTGCATTTAAGAAAAGGGTGAAATCATTTTGGACTTGCAAAAAGTCTACCAGGAAATTTCTGTAAACCAAAAATTTGCGAGAACACAGGCTCTGTAAAGAAAACAATCTTCTTTTATCAGAAATGAAGAGAAAAAACTTGGATGGGAAACAATAACAAAATTGGATAATGGCACATTTGTCTTTATAAGAAACATAAGAAGAACAAAGAAACCCTGTGGAAATGTCTAGACAAGTTCTGCAAGAACTACTTTGTGTTTCGAGTGTGCGAACACGATAACTTGTTTAAGAGTCATTTTATCCTTTTGAATGAAAAAATATCCTTGGAAAACCCTCTAATTGTGTCCTCAAAGCTTAATGAGGGTCRTATTAATTTTGTCACTATTGATTTGTGAGTGCTAATACATAACTTAGGTCTCTTGTTTGCAGAAAACACCAAGTGATAGAGTGCTGCTGAGTACAGGAGGCTATTGCCTCCCAAATGAATGGTTCTTGTTGCTGTGAGGTACCAAGGAATTAGAGACTTTTGTCACACACAACTGACTTGAAACAGAAATGGAGTTTTATTGCATGTTGCTTTCCTCCTGACTTTTGTGGGCCAGGAGCTAACAGATGTCACCATGCCTGGCTCTGCACTGGTTTACATGAAATTGAACTTCTGGCCTTAGTTCCTGAAGAGCAACGTGTGGAAGTGGGATCCTGCAGCTCAAGCAAATGCTCAAGATGAAGTGTTGATCTGTGGGAGAAGTGCTCCAGCCGATCTGAACCTGTAGCAACCCTGCTCTGTCAAGGCCAACTAGCCCATGTGCAGACCATCTATAGCAATCTCAGATGCTCGAGCTTCAAATGGGAGACAGGTTTACCGGGGCTTCGTCCCCATCCAAAAGCAGTGGCTGTGTTCCCACCAGGAACAGCACAGCCCCACGGACACCTCCCTGCCCTGTTTACAACACACTGACCAAAACGCATCCCACAGGGTCAGAGGTGAGGGAGTAGGACGCATTCGGCCCGTTCCAGCGCCTGAGTCCAAGTTTCCAGAAGTCACAGATTTTTATATTAACATACTGCATCATTTAAGTGTGCCCCCTGACTGGAACTCATGATTCACACAAGATTTAGTTCATGACTACTTGGCTCGC